AGCTTTATGGATTTTTAGTTTGAACTTTCAAAATCCCTTGTCCTAATTGGATTTCAAGTGATTGGTTATGTGTTATCAAGTGATTGTGAACTCTCAGCGACCAAATAGGTAGACTTTTCTCCATGTTGCAATGACTGGAATACAGTCAAATTTATTTTCAAAAGTATCAGTAGTACATTTATTCCTTTGTTGAATTTTTAAAAAATATTTCAGATAACTTGTTTTTTATTTCTTAACTTTTGGCCTCGTGCTTTAAACTCCTATGCATGTCCTGTAACATCAATAAATAATACAAATCCTATAATTATGATTAAAGAAAACAATTATTGACTAATAATTCTTTTTAAGCACTCATTTCTCAGAATTATGGAATATTGCCACAGACTTCTTGGAGTCAAGACCAAAATCAGGAAATTATTTGTATTAATGAACACTCATGTTTGAAGACTGTCCCAAAATGAGGAAAGCTGAACACAAAGGCTTTTCAATCTGAATGACATCATCATCTAAAGTCCCCCCCAAATACTGTTGCAAAACAAGGATTTTTGGCTTAACTGTTGGGAACTTGTTTAAGCCATAAATAATAGTTTAAAATGGAGAACTCGCTGAACAGAGGCTGCAGGAATATTTTTCAAAAATCTCTCACATAACTATTAGCACTAATAAACACAGCCTCTCAGTTTATTCTTTCTGACGTATCAGAAGAGGATCGGGGCAGTTTGAGTTCAAACTTTATTTAGTCATGAAGCCGATTCTGAGTCCAGCCATATATTATTCTTCTACGTAACTAACATTTTAGGCATTTTCTGAAGGCGAAATGGGGTAGGAATAGGGCAAGGACAGATATATCATCATGAAACACAGAAAAATGTTAAAATTGTTTTTCAGGAATGGTCTCAAAATAAATTTAAGAATGGAGTTTCTGAAACTCTAGAGCCTCAGTCAACATGAGGCTTCCTCTGTATGCGTGAGAATATACAATGAACATGAGAAATAAGCATATGGACAAATAAATGGAATGGAAGAAACAAAAGACAAAAACATAAATAAATAATTGCCTATCTCTTTAAACTAACATTTTTTTTCCTTGAAGTTGGACTGAAATTGAAAAACAATCCAGAGTGGTTTGAAAAGAGTTACTTGGCTAGTTGCTGTACATCCAATTACTACTAGCAAATCCATAACACATGCCTTTTTTTTTTTGGCAAATCTTAAAATGTGATTGGCTCCCACAATCCAATGAAAACATCAGTCATTACATTTTTAAGCAGTCTTATTATTAGACACTGTATGCCTTGTAATTAAAGTATGTGTCATTTGCTCACATAGGATAGGAATATACAAAATAACAAGAGATGGATATCAAATACATTGGAAATATTGCACAAATATTTAGTTATACTAAACAAAATCAATTTGCAAAATTCAATATAATTTACCTTTTCTCCCGCTTCACCTTCCCCCCCTGTCAAGCCATGTTCACCCTACATTTGAAAGAAATATAAAAACAATGTTTGCTTTTAAGTTGCTTTATTTAATTGAAAATTCTGCTTAAAGATTATTTTTAAACAATGACAATACTTTTCATTCACAAGAAAAGAGATAAGCTTACTTCCACCTCTTTTTTATCATCTTCATCTGGTAAAATGCTAAGGTTATACACTTTTTGCATCGTTAAAACAGAACATTTCAAACATAACTACTGGACTGTCTCTATAAAAAACATGAAACGTGAAAGAAAAAAAATTGCAATTTCATAGAAAATACCCACTATATATCTGACAACAGAAAGTTTTCCCTGAGTAGATTGAATTGTACTTAGCATTTTTCAACATAGAAGAAGAACGGTATATTTACAGAAAGTCTTGCAAAATTTTGAGAGAGTGAACATATATTTTAGTGAGGTACCTGTTGGTGCTAATAATCATTAGGAATTCACCATTGCATTGGACATATTCTTTTTGTTTTATCAAAATAATTTCACACAAATGGCAAGCATAAAAATGTGATTGAATAGCTAAGGTCACTGTTGTGGTATTCATATTGACACCACCATTGCAGTAGATAAATTTTGAATGTCGTTTCTATCAGTATACATTTTATAAGTAATAGAATAGCTAAGATTTCTATTGATTTTATGGTTGAAATTTGGTAAAGCGTGTATCCAAGCTCTGTTTTCTATAAAAAGCATTCATTATTCCAGGTAAAAGAACTAATTATATCAGCAATAATGGCTTACAAAACTAAAGATGTAGCTTTTTGTTAAAAGTTAAATACTTCTTAAATTTTTTAGTAAGCATTCAATAAAAATGCCTACATGTTGCGCAAAGTTTCTTTGAACAACTATAAGTAAAATTATTAATTTTCTGAAAAACATACATGTTGCTTTTAGATCAGCATTCCACAAGTGTTGGATTATAAATTCTCCACTTTCTAGTTAAAAATGTTGGCAATATTGGAATTCTGGTAATCAAGTTTCAATATATTGGAAAGCAGCAGACTTGCAAAGAGAATAGCAAAGACTGCTAGCAAATAAGTTATTTTTATACTCTTCCTCTTAACAGATTTATTATAGTAAAAATAAGTAGTGGTGTAGCAGTGGGAAAACAAGGATGATTTCCAATGGAAGATGATTCTACTGGACACTTAAATTCTAGGAACAAGGTGTAGAAATGATCAAAACCAGAAATATAGCCTCCAAACTGAAAGAGCTTCCATACTACAGTCCAATAGCATTTCACTATTTTCTTTCTCAATAATTCTTAGCAGAAAAAGAGAGAAGAAGTTATGGAAAAATACACAAGGGTTCTCAATGGAACATGACAGAACCTGTGTAAAATTATGTGAGAGAGGCAGAGAGATTTCACAATAAAAATCTCATCTGGAAGGCTTACTATCTCACTGATGTTATTACAACAAATAGAAACCTATCTTCCTCTGGATTCTTAAGAAGGACATTTTAATTTGAATGTATAGAAACTCAGATAATGAATTAAAAGGCCAGAGGCTCAGTGAGTGGTGAATGGTGCCACGCTATGTCCATCCGGAGAACACAACTTCTACAAATAACAGAATGGAAAGTTAAGTCTCATTGACATTTGGACTACTGTAACTTGTCCATTAATATAAATAATTGCACAATAATTATGAACTTTTACTTGGCAAAATGGCAACATTAAATATGCTTTTACTTTTACAACTGCATTTAAAAGCTTAGAGTCAAGCAATTAATGCCATAATTTCTATAGACTATGTAATTGGATTAATTATTAGTTTATTTACCTACTTATGATACTTAATATTTCCATTAAGGAGCTAAGGATGATATAAATGATAGATTAAATAAGATAAAATAAGATAAATATAAATCTTTTTTTGCTATTACTATAAATTTCTGAATTAGCCTGAAACGACTTTAGTAAGACAACTGAACAGAATTAATGGACAATTTTTATTCTGCTTATATAGAAGGTTCTAGTTTTTATGTGCTACATAAAAATGTGAAGGAAAGGGAAGGAAGAAATAAGAAGTGTCAGAATAGAATCTCCAAAGGCTATAAATTGTTTCTATAGGAAAAGTACCCTTCCTGATAGCTACATCAATGAGTAATATTAACATAGATTGGTCCTATATTAAAGCAGGTGATGCTATTTAAATAAAGTTTTTCCAAATCTCTTTAATAAAATTGTGATATTGAACGTATTCAAGATTTTGTTCATTGTGCAAAAATCAGGTATTGCCTGATTCATTAATTGAACTTTAATGCTAAAATTTTAGCAGGCAATCAGAAATAATAATAATAATAATAATAATAATAATAATAATAATAATAATAATAATAATAATAATAATAATAATAATAATAATAATAATAATAATAATAGAGTTGGAGATCTTCTAGTCCAACCCCCTCCTCAGGCAGGAAACCCTATACCATTTCAGACAAATGATTGTCCAGTCTCTTCTTAAAACTTCAACCGCTGCAACATCCACAACTTTTGGAGGCAAGTGGTTCTACTGATTAATTGTTCTAACTGTCAGGAAATTTCTTCTTAGTTCTAGGTTGCTTCTTTCCTTGATTAGTTTCCATCCATTGTTTCTTGTTCTGTCTTCAAGTGCTTTGGAGAATAGCTTGACTCCCGCTTCTTTGTGAAATATTGGAACAATGCTATCATATCACCCCTAGTCCTTCTCTTCATTAAACTAGACATACCCAATTCCAGCAACTGTTCTTTTCTAGTTCCAGTTTTAGCCTCCAATCATCTAATCATCTTTGTTGCTCTTCTCTGTACTCTTTCTAGAGTCTCAACATCTTTTTTACATTGTGGTGACCAAAACTGGATGCAGTATTCCAAGTGTGGCCTTACCAAGGCATTGTAAAGTGGTAATAACACTTCATTTGATCTTGATTCTATCCCTCTGTTAATGCAGCCTAACACTGTGTTGGCTTTTTTTTTGGGCAGCTGCAGCACATTGCTGGCTCATATTTAATTTTGAGCAAAAAAAACTAGTGGAAATTGAATTGCACTTTTTATTACATAGTAACAACGTTATACCATCAAAAATCTGTCTCTTTCACATCCAAAGAAATCAAGTGTTGAGGGCAGATTGTGCACTGCCATTGCATGTTTATTGGAGAGAGGTTTTGCCCAGAATATTGACTTGAGGAAGCATTTATGGAACAGGTCACCAATAAGTTTTATTCTATGTTCATAGATAAATTTGAAGCAGTTGAATCTGGCTAGCCATATTTCTGGCATATGACCAGCAGAAATATAACTATAAAACCTCCCTGCTATCTGCTTGAAATACACCCCAGGTTTATGCACTTGAAACCTGTTCTACACCCCTCTTGCTGAATATAGATTTCAGTGTTCTCCCCAAAATCTAACATCATAGCAAAACTGGGGATAAAAGTTACAGTTTTGCTCAGGGGCCTAAAATGAAAGAAGGGAAGTTCTAAATATTAGAGAGCATTTGTTATGTTAAATGTTTGTTCCTCTTTAAGTCCTGTCATGCTGTCTCACTGGGATGGACGTAGATGTTCCTGGGAAGGATTATGAAGAAAAACTCCCAGCAGAGTTGCCCAATATGTGGAGATTATTCCAGTTGCTCAATTAAACCAAGCATGCACCTGTATCAGAGGAAATGGTGGTGAATGAGGATGATCACTTTAGTGACAAAAAATAATAATAATGATGCCAAAGCATTATTTCATAATGCACGGGAGAAGATATTAGTAAATCACCCCTGAATTTAACTAAGAAAAACACATGGATGGACAGGATATTGGTTCATGATGTAGTACTGAATGATGGACCCCTCTAGCTACAGAGTTTAGAATCATGCAGGGAGAAGTTTTTTCTATGACGTTTTATGGAAACGAAATGTGGATTTGGCAGAGTGGAGTGGAAGTGATGAGGCTTTTGAACTTTGGTATTGGCAAATATCCCTGACAATATGAAGAAAAGAAATAAATCAAGTTACAGTTCTCACCTGAGGCATAAATGTTTTCATCCAGCATTCTTGCTTTTCCTTTTTTTTAAAAATGATTGTAACATTGTTTAATTAGTGGTTATATGCTGCCCAGAGTCACATTCAACAAAATGGGTGGCTATATAAGTTTGTTGAATGAATGAATGAATGAATGAATGAATGAATGAATGAATGAATGGGCTCAGATTATCATATTTTGGACACATTATGTGAAAAACTCATGAGCATTGATAATGCTGGGAAAAATAGATGGAAAGCAAAGAAGAGAACAACTAGAAGAAAGGTGAGTGGACTTGATTACATGGTCATGGAAGCACTGTTGAAGATCTGACGGGCCAAGTCAGGAACAGATCATTCTAAAGAAGATCTATCTGGGGTTACTAGACACCAACCTGGTGGTACATAATTATAAAAATCATGAATGTATTTGTATTTTCTTCTTAGTTTACTTGGTATTTGACAATGTTAAATAAATAGTAAACATTTCCTATATAAAAACTTGTGGTAAAAAGGGAAGATGTCTGCTATCCTGGCAGCCAAACGCAAGCCATGGACCCAAAGCTTATACATGTACCTTTTCACCAGAAGTACCAGGAACACCAGGAACACCAATCAGACCCTCTTCGCCCTAAAACAAATTAAAAACTGCATCAACTCTAATTCATTGGCCATTAAAAAAAGGTATTGCATTATGAAGAAATAAAAATAATTGTTACAATAACAAAATACTATACTTTCTTCTTAAGGACTATTAATATTTTAACTAAGAAAATTGTCATGCTAAGGTTAATGATCTTCATGTTTGCCAAAAATATATTTATTTAAAATATTTTATCTATTTATGACAGAATTTGGCCTGCTTCTCAAGACAAGCAAATTCTGAACAAGAATCTGATAACTAATACATAATGTAGCATCTGTAGTTTTCAGTATTTAAATTACTCAGCTTGCATTTTAGAACATTTAACAATGTTTGCCCGCTGAGTGAATCACGTGTGCAGATGTTGAAAATACAGTGCAGGACTTGTTTATGTGACTTTATAGGTGTCCTGATGAGGATGCCTTCCATTTTTAATTCTCTGGTTTTTCCCACTGCTTATACTGTCATTTTTCTTACCACGGTAAATCTATGATGGAAGATAAAACAGAATACTTCACAATAACTTTTGATTGGTAGTACTAGCTGCTCTTCATAACAAGCTGCTCCTATCTTAACAACTGAGGTTTATTTATTTCTTTATTCTTCTTTAGGAAAGAAAGCCATATGGTGCAGATTAGGAGTTAAAGTTCTTCCTGCAGCCTTTCCTGTCTTTTACTTTCCAGAAGAATCTCAAAGGCACAAGGTACTTGGTGCCTCCAGGCTAACATCGGATGTTTTTCCATTGATAGAGGCAACATGAACTTCTATTACTATTGGAAGCTTGGAGAAAAGTACAAATGTCATAAATCAAATATTATAAATACTGAAACATCAGATAAATGACTCAAATCTTTTGTGCACTATGATGTTTTAAACTGTTTAGAACCACTACCTGCCTAACTTGGGAATCATTTCATATAAAAGAATGATTTACATCTTGAAGATGGGATGAAGATGCACTCCCTGAATTTTAAACAACTTTCATAGGCTTCCATTATTAGGCCAGCTGACATCTCATTAGGATGGGGGTGGGGAATCCTCAACTCTGCAGCAATGCATAGAGCAGACCTTTGTAACCTGGGTATTCTCCAGATGTGTGGACCTCAACTCCTAGATTTCTTAACTCCAACTGCTTGGAGAGTTCTAGGAATTGTGGTCTATATAAACCAGAAGGTTGGAGAAGGCTGATATAAACTGCTAATACTGATTCTGAGAGGGAAAATGTTCATCAATTTAAAATTAAAATAGTGACCAGGTCTAACAGAAATCATCAATGAATTGATTTTTCCACCCATAATATTTTTATTCACTGCACCACTACTATTTTTCTTGACCAGAATGTGGTTTTGCAATATAACTAAGGCATGGTTATATGAAACTTTTTAGAACTGGCTTGTAGCGTTGCGGTGACTGCAATCACTGTTCACATATGAATGTGCTCGTTTGCTAGTGATCCTACTTGGAAGATTTAAAACTGCAGACTTGAAAATTACTCCAAATCTCTTTCTAGAAGACATTTTTCCTGGTACCATCAAACCTTTCTAAAAGTGGCGAGAAAAAAAGGAGACATGTGTCTGGAGAGTGTGTTCCTTGTTATTGATTGGTTTAGATTTGTAGGCCACCTAATCAGAAAACTCTAGGCAGCATACATAAATATTTTTCAAAAACATATAAAACATACAGAGAAGTGCAGAACATTGGTGGTGGTTGTGGATAAGTAATATACTCAAGTACCAATCATCCGTCCTCTACCAGTCAGGATCACAAATCACCTGGCTTCTGGTCTGTTTGAAAAGCCAGTTTTTAAGAACTTTTCTAAAGGATGGAAGGTTGGAGCCCAACAAACTTTTGGGAGGATAGTATTCCAGAAGGCAGGAGCAGCAACAGAGTAGTCCTACCTAGGCACTCTTCACGGCAGCACTGATTAATTAATGGGAAGTAGAAAATACCCATTCTGTCAGATTTGATTGGATGGGCAGATCATTCCATAAACAACCAGGCTCTGAGCCCTGTAGACATAATCGCTAACAATCACCATCTTGAATTATAGCCAGACATCCACTGGTAATCAGTGCAACACAGAGAACAGATGTGTTAGACCAAAATAGCAAGATGCACCATAATTGCTTGTGAAGCCAAGTTCTGGATCAGGAGTAGTTTCTGACTGGTCTTCAAAGGCAAGAATCCAGATGAAAAGGTGACTATAAATGGGATTTTTCGGCCCCAGAAAATTGTTTTCCAGTAATAGAAATATATAATTGACACTATTCAAATATTAAACATAAGCTACATTTACATCTATCCTGACTCCCCTGTCCAGCCTCTCTTTAGAAATATTCAAAATTGCAGAGTCTGTAACCTTTACAGATTGATTGTTCCAAAACTGCATAAATATTCTTTACATTTAAATAAAAATCTAGATAGCTGTAACTTATATCCATTACTTTTGGTCCTACTGGTTCTGAAAATAGTCCAACAAGTCATCTAAGGTAGGAATCCTACCTTTGTTCCAGGCAAACCAGGAATGCCATTTTCTCCTTTAGCTCCTTCTTCACCCTATACAAATTAAATGCATTTAGGTAAGTCCTATTGCTCAGGTTGTAAAATATTTAATAAACAATTTAACCCCCAAATGTGGTTCTTCTCCTTGATCCTGGATTGTTATTGAATAGCGCAATAATACTACAAGGACAAGAACACAACGAAGCATCTGTAAATGCAGTTTTGCATAGTGACTGGAAAAGTGATATAACTGTGAGAATGTAGATATGCTTTTTCTACTAAATGATATTTTCTAAAGTCATATTTTGTGGAATGTTTTGCAAGCTCATAAAACTTAGATTCCGCTCAATGGAAAAGCTGAGAATTCAATGCACTAGTATCTGTTTAGCTAGGTGTCATAAGACGTTTTAGGCAGAGGTTGACCTCCTGATTAACCTTATTCCTTACAATGTCCAGTGACCTTCAATAGAGAAGCCAGAACTGCCTCTTGACTAAGAAATGCAGAGAATTGATAATCCAATAAGATGTGTTTTTCTTTTGGTTGTCAACTAGCATCCAGGAAATGAAGGTGAACTGGTAAGAAGGGCAAATCTTCAGGGCTTTCCGGGAATCTTCAATCTGTCCTGACTGGTCCTTCAATTTTCCATGAAAGGTAGGGTTCATAAGGAGATTTCTTTAGCTGAGATTTTTTGGAGAAGTACAGCCTCAAAGTCAAAGACTCAATGCTGCTAAGTTATACTTTTCTTTCTATATCATAGCCATATTTTTCTAACTATGATTTATCTCTTTTCAAAATTCTAACCTGTACAGTTCTTCACTAGTCATAACTAGTGAATGCATTAGTGAATGAATCCTGCAACTGGGCCATTTGGAAATCCAAGAATGAATGAGAATAGTGACTATTTGGTAAATATGTGCTTAGAAAAAGGCATGTATTTTCAAGTATATTATGATTTAAGCATAATATAGGTGGAAAAGAACTGAGCATATCAGAAAAAAAACATAGAGAAAGCTTAATGCAGTGGGGAAAAAGTAGTTAAATGTGTGTAGGAAAACACGAAGAAGAGGTAAGAAAATTGATGCTGAATAAATGTATATGGAAGATAAATGTGAGTGGCTAGAATGAAAGAATGCTGCAAAAATTGAAAATAACAGGAAATGTGGGCCAGTTATTTATCTTAGTACTGTAATCAATATGACTGTTTGATCATTAAAGTCTGCCTTTGATTTGCTGTGTAGTAAATTAGCAGATAAGTACCTTACCTGTTGTTTGTGCTGGGAGTGTCAACATTTTATACAAATACATTAACTAATTAGTTTCCATTGACAATATGATTAATTGCAGTTTGTCCAGATTCAACAAATGGAGCAAGTGCTGTTAATCATAAATGAAAACAAACATTTTCCTCCTTAATACTGAGATGGAGGAAAAAGGAAGGACATAGGCACAATAAGTAGGCTGGTCTTTTTTTATCATGCTAAACTTTCATTTAGGTTTACATCCAAACCGGTGAAATGAATCAAACATTTCCACAGAAACTTCAGAAAAGGCAGATTTTTTTTAAATAAATACATCATTCCATAAATACATTTAGGCTAACTCTAATCCTAACATTTTATAATTCCTTGGAAACCAACGTAGCACCTAACCTTTCCAGTTAATATTTCTTATTCTGCCATGTGCTTCTATCAGAAAAAGTGATTCTTTTAGCATCTGCATTAATAAAGAGATATTTAAAACATTAGATATATTACTTTTTTTTACCAGCACTGGCAGTAACAAATTAAATGAGCAAACTCCACAGCCCATCATGAAAATAAAGACAGAATCTGCAACAAAATTTGAGATAAGCAATTTTTTTTTTTTGCAAATTTGAAGATTGGGGCATATTTCCAATCCTTATTATTCCTAAAAGTATGAGCAGGCTATAATTGGTAGAAAGCAATTAGCCAAAGGACAAAGTTCATATTATTTTTAAAAGGCATTTCCGCAAGTCACTACGCCTTTTATGTACAGTAAATTGCTTCCAAAAGCAACTTCCTGCAGCTTTTATACCTGCCTTCTTAAATCACACTTTTCATTCACAGAAATTCAAAGACCTGCACCTGTAAAATCCAGCTGGCAGCTCTTACTTGTTGGCATGTGAGCAGAGGGTTGAGCAAATCAAGTCACACATACTGCACTCGCTCCAGAAATTGAAATCCAGTGAATCAAAGTAATCATGTTTAATGCTTTCCATTGAATGGTTTAAATGTAAGCATGTTAAGTTCACTCAGTCTCATCAGCAGGACAACATTTAAAGGACTGTATACTATCAGCAAGCACTACAGTATTTAAGAAAAAGGGTAACATGGGCAGAAATGACTTGTGTCAGCCCTTTTGGCTATCCACAGAATTAGTCTTACATCATGTTCTACTTCCTGTGTGGTTTCCAGTTATTTTAGCCAGGATACAAGCCTGTTTGATATCAGTATTGTACTGGTACATCCTGGCATCTTCTGAATTTATGTGCCTCATACATTAAAAAAAATAAGATTATTGCAGTAACCAAAATGATACTAAATATGCACTCAGTCGCTTCATAACTATAATAAATAAATAAACTTTGGCCTTTAAAGGGCTAGTAGATAAAGGAAAAACCAATTATGAAGTAATTCATTCTATCTTGCAACTCTGGTTTTGATACTTAAAAGATTAAATTTAACCATCTATGCGAGGATACTAAGATTGGCAAAAGGTTGTTTTGTGCCACATTGGTTATTTTCATTATAATTTCATTTTATTGCTTCTACCTCATCCTTTTTTGACAGTTATTATTATTGTAGCTTCCAACTACAAAGTACAGTAGTTTCCTAAACTTTAAAAATGGTAAAGTGCAGCTCTGAATAAAGTGTTAGGCTTTATGCTCTATAGTATACCAGTTGTAGCCTGCAGCCCCCCCAGATTTTAAATTAAAAATTAGAACGTATTTAGCAATGATAAAACTTGAGTTATGCAATAAAATATGTACTATTTTTTCGATTTTCTTAAAAACAAGATTATTGGCATTTTTCAGTCTGCTAATGAATGAAGCTATCAAATTATTTTAAATGATCGAAGCTAAAAGGGAATATCAAAGTAATAAGGGCATCTTAATTGAGTGAAATGTATGCAAGAATAAAGTAGGCCCATTGGGTTATGGGATACACACACACCATTTCATGTATATGTTGATTCAACCTGAGTGGGCAGTGAGTATCAGGAATTGTGGTAGGGGATTGTGGTAGGGGTAACTTAATGAAAAGACTGAAATGATATGCAAACATTATGAAAAAGGCAAATGGTATATTCAAGGTCATTAATAAACAGTCTTTAAACAAATCTGTCTACTACACTTGGAATTTTATTGATTTATTTAAATGTATAGGACTGTCCATCTCAAATTCATAATGCTGGGCAGTTAATACTAATTACAGTCACCATATAAAAGCCCATAATGGTAAAAATAATAATAATTGACAATCAAGATAAAAGCTCAACCAACAAATCAATACAACCATTGTATGGACATTGCCATACAGTTGTAATGTGCAATTCTATTCTCTAATATCTAGAAGAAATATTACAGGGTGGAAAATATGTGAAAAATATATGACATATTTTTTAAAAAAATCCTAAAAATTATTAAGAAAAATATGAAACTTTTTAGCTTTTCAGGCCAAAAAAAGGGCAAATAATGAATATGCAGCCTTTGTGATTCAAGGTTTGTCTTTTCAATCTTTTGGGTTTGCTGTATTGCTTCTTTAAGATTGAAAAACTTTCAGAACTACAGCTACTGGATGAGTTTCCTTCCAATGCATTTAAAAGAAACTACCTTTTTCCAACTTTATATG